ACTCCCAACCCAGCCAGCCTATCCAGAAGGACACCATGGTCGATGGTGTCGAAAGCCGCTGAGAGGTCCAGGAGCATCAACAGGGTCACATTCTCCATGTCTCTCTCTCAGCAAAGGTCATCGTACAGGGCGACCAAGGCAGTCTCTATACCATCATCATAGGCATCCTTCAGTCTCGAGAAACTATGGTAACATGCTCTGAATCAAGGAGTGTCCTCTCCAGAGCATGAAGCCCGGGTAGGTACCAAAACCTGGCCTAAAACCCAATTGAAATGGATCTAGAAAATCAATTTCATCCAGCAGCACCTGGAGTTGCTTTTTCAAAAGTTAAACTGAATTTGTTATAAAGAAAAAAATTAGTATATAGGGAACTAAAGAAGACAGCATTTCCAGTCTAGTATAAAGGAGAAAAAGCAGAAGAAATGTAGATTTCTTCAGACGGTATGACTTTCTGCACTACTAGCATGGCTGTTGCACTGCAGAGTTCCAAAATCTACACTTTTCCAAGATTTTTTTTAATTTCAAGATATTTCAGAATAGAGTATGCCATGTTCAAAATGGAGACTTCCATGACTCAGGATTGATGGACAGGATTCACGAAAGATCAGCTGACAGATGGGTTAATCACAGAATATATATATTTTACATTCATACAAATTACTTCTGCTTTCAGAGACACAGAATTCATACTCTGATCTTGTGAAGGACCAGATCTATGCCCTGGGACATTTACAACCCCCAGTAGTGCTGCTACCAAGAAGGAATCTCAATGTAAACAAAATCCAGCTGCTTCAAGCCCTTCTAAAATGTCCCATGAGAATACAGCCCAAACCCACAGAATCTCAGAATTCCAAAGTACACCAGGAATCTAGTACCTCTGCTCTTGTGGGATGAACATCAGCCCTGCACAGTAGGAGAAAGTCCCAAGTAATATAAATAGTGACAAATGTTAGCATAATCAATCCCTAAGGATATTGAATTTAGAACGAAGCAACCTCAATGCCAGTTAAGAAACACATCAGGTAGGGATTTTGTATTTTACCTAAAAAATAAGAAAAAGGCAAACCTAATTGAAAAGAGAGCATTTTTAAAGAACAAACAGTCAATTCAGGTAAAAGAAAATAGGTACTGGAATGTGGGAGTCTGCTGACTTCATTACAGCTGAGCAAGGAGGTCACGTAGGCAGAAGAATGCATCAGCCAAATGCCTAGCTCTTTAACAGAGTTAATCTATGCATGTGTCAGTTGTTGCTAGGCAGAATGTACTTGATGCCTTATTGGTTGTAATGTGATTCCTGTGTAACCTAAGTACTGGCACGACTGAGCATGCTTTGATGGCCAAGAAAGTTTTTCTTTTCCTGCAGGCACGACTGAGCATGCTTTGTTTTTGAATCTCCGACTGCAGTCTTCTTGTTTTTCTTCAGAGATCTGTCCTGTTCACTGATGTTAGAGCTGGACTCTGACACTGGAATCATGTCCATGCAAGAAAAAAAGAAAGCTGCCTATGGCAAATACTAAACATTAACAGAATAATGGAGCAAGGTTTCTGAACTAGTATAGAGTTATTAACAACAGTATGCCTTGCTGGACCTCCAGGCATTACACTAACTTTATATTCTGTTAGATGAGCTCTTGGGTGACCTTCTTCAAGTCAATTAAATTAAGATTGCCAATGAAGTTTCCAGAAAATAGGTTGCCATGCATCCTCTTCTGCAGGTGTAGCTAGGGCAATTTACAGCTTCATTTTGAAATGAAACTCTGACCTTGAGAGTCTGAGCTTTTCTGTTGTTGTTTAGTGGTTAAGTCGTGTCCAACTCTTTGTGACCCCATGGACCAGAGCATGCCAGGCCCTCCTGTCTTCCACTGGCTCCTGGAGTTTCTTACATTCCAGGTTCCTATGCAGTATTTTTCTTTGCAGCATCGGACTTTCCTTTCACTTCCAGGCATGTCTGCAGCTGAGCGTCCTTTTGGCTTTGGCCCAACCACTTCATTAGCTCTGGAGCTACTTGTAATTGTCCTCCACTCTTCCTCAGTAGCATGTTGGACGCCTTCCAACCTGAGGGGCTCATCTTCCAGCATCATATATATTAGCCTTCAGTTTCTGTCCGTGGAGTTTTCTTGGCAAATATACTGGAGTGGCTTGCCAGTTCCTGCTCCAGGTGGATTGTGTTTAGTCAGAACTCTCCACTATCACCTGTCCGTCTTGAGTGTCCCTGCATGACATAGCCCAGTGGAGGCAAACCTATTTCGGCTCGAGTGCCCAAAATGAGGGGGTGGGGAAGAAACCAGTGGCTGCTGTGCCACCCGGAAGATCAGAACTGGAATAAGAAGTGGCAGTTTCAGGGGGAATCATGGGGACGAACAGGAAGTTAAAAGGGGACTCATGGGGACAGACAGAAAGTTAAAGGGGGAATCATGGTGAGGGACAGGAAGTTTAAAGGGGGAATCATGGGGATGGACAGGAAGTTAAAGGACCCAGAACAGGAAGTGAAAGGGGGAAATCCCAGTTGCAGCCACTTCAAAAGTCGCATGCCAGAAGGGCTTCGCGTACCAGCTGTGGCACACATGCCATAGGTTCACCATCCCTGGCATAGCCCATAGCTACTCTGAATTACTCAAGCCCCTTCACTACTACAAGGCAGCAATCTGTGAAGGGGAGTCTGAGCTTACCTCTGGACAATCCCGACTGCTTCCTATGCTTCTTGCCTTCAGAACTATCCAACTGACTCTCCTACCATTTTTGGCACCATGGAATGAAATTAGCTTGGTACTTTGGGGCTAGGGTGTAACAAATTACCTTTTTAGTGTTTTTGTAGAGCTTTTCTTTAGATTCTTTCACCGATTTCTCTGTGTGAAGCTAGCTTAAACGACTGAAATCTGAACAGACCCATATGTAAGAGAGAGGCTGCTCATGATTTTGCCATAGAAATAAAAAGCTGTTTAGGTTAAGTTGACCAAATCTTAGAAATTTATCAAATCCCACCTCTAGAAGTAAAACAGTGTACAGCATCATCCAACTGCTTAGAAAAATTGTGACTCACTGACAAGAACATTAAGTAATAAGAAGAAAATTAAGTAATAAAAATTATTGTTCTCTAATTAAAATGCTGGATAACTTAATTTTAAAGTGAAGCATTTAATTACTGAGTATATTATCCTCATGGTTCCCTCACCCTTTCTTCATTATGGATGGTACCATTCCGCTGAATGAACGGGCTTCTTCTGAAAACCGAGGAACATTGTTCTGGATCCCAGTTGAGAAACTCACTGAGCTTTGTCTTCTTTTACTGCCTTTAATATAATGGATCAGAATGTATTTCTGGCTCATTCAGAAAATAACAAAGTAAATATTATCACAAAAATAACTTAATTTCTTATACAATTGAATTACATTTAATATAAGCATTTTTCTTCTGTTTGGAATCTGAACTGCTTCAGATGGTAGATTTTGAAAAATTCAGTTGCTAATTCAGAAATTAACAGTGTACATTTTTTCTTTGCTGCCAAAACAAATTTTGCTACTTGACTATCCCTAAAAGGAGCATATAAAGTTGAGCCAAAGTTGTGGGTCTATCACACAAAGGTCTAAGAATGCCAGCAAGAAATTTACTTCTGGTGTGCTCATATAAAGGACAACTTAATAAATAATGGAAAACATCATCAATCTCTCCTGGTAGAATGAGTCTTAATAATGACAGGTAGAGGCTGTTTGACTTGTTAGTACGCCAGTTTTATAGTTGCAAGAAGCCAAGAGGATACAGTTTGAGATGAAATATGATAACCTCTGTGAGGGAGGTGCAGTGTTACAAAAAGTCATTTTGATTTACAGAAGGAAGAAGTCCATGAGAAAAAGAAAGCAAGTGTGTGTCTAACGTCCAACGTGTGTTAAGACCGCTCTAGGTAAGTTATAGGTGACGGAAAAAAGGTAGGTAAAACAATAAGTTGGGAAAGATGGAAATCTGTCACAACCTTTAGTAGAAAGGAGACATCAGGGAAAAGGGTGTCCTTGTCTGGGTGAAATTGAAGAAATGGAGGATCGACCTGGAGGGCAGCAAGCTCCGAGGCTCTACGAGCAGAAGTACAGTAATGGCAACCAGGAAGAGTGTTTTAAGGGAAAGGAGGTGCTCTGAGACGGAAGCAAGTGGCTCAAATAAAGCACGGGTAAGCCAGTGACAAACAATGGGTAGAGACCATTGTGGGGATGGTGCAGGTGCAGAAGGATGCATGTTGGAGACACCCCAAAGGAAGAGTTTTAATATGGGATGACGAAAAAGCATAGCAGCATCAGAATCTTGGTTGATGAGATATTAAAGCAGACAGGTAAACCTTGAGAGTAGAAAGGGAGAGTTGCTTGTGAAAGAGATGGGAGAGAAACTGAAAGACAGCTTGCAGGGTCGTGAGATTGGTTGGGAGATGATGTTGAAGTGCAAACCTTGTGAAGACAGTCCATTTATATGAATAGAGCTCAACAGTGGCAGGCTTTCGGCCTTTAGCTAAGATGGCATCTACCGAGGGTGAATTCTCCACGGCATGAGATGGACAGTGTGAAGATCGGGATGGTGAGTCCTGCCTTGATGTTGCGAGAGGAGGTGAGGAATGAGAGGAGGTCGGAGGTAATCTGTAGTGATGGAGCGGAACATGGTGAACCATGGTTGCCTTGGCCACCAAGGGGCAATGAGGATTGTGTTGCAGAGATCATGACGGATCTTGGCTATTGCTCTGAGAAGGAGAGAAATGGGGGAAAAAGAAATAGATGAGATATGTGATCAAGTCTGCCATCAGTGCATCTCCGAGGGATCCATCTCCCATGGCTGCTCCTGAATAGAAGACGGTGCATTTGGAGTTTTGAGACATGGTGAACATGTCTATGCATGGTATCTTGCAAAGGTGGTGAAATACGGACTAGTCTAGAATCCATTTATGCATATGTAGTCTGCTGAGAGTGTCCGCTACAAGATTGTCTTAAGTAGCAATATGTACTGTTACAGGAAAAATGTGGCGTTCTAGACACCATTCCCAGAATTGGAAAGTGAGATGCAGCAGTTGAAGGGAATCGGTGCCTCCTTATTTGTTTATGTAAAAAAAAATGCAGTGGTATTGTCAGTTGTAACTTGAATGTCATTGTTGAGAATGATGGATTTGAAGGCTCGGAAGGCCTTGAAAATTGCTAAGAGCTCGATATTGTTTATACGAAGAGCTCGCTCGGCACGGGACCAGGTAGTATGAATATGCAGGCTGCTGCAATGTGCCCCCCATTCAGTAGGCCTTGCATCGGTGGTGATCTGAACCAATAGTTAGAGAGGAGCAAAGGACCATTCAATGAACAGGTTGGATGCAGTGTCCCACCAGAGGAGCTCAGAAGACAGCTTGGGGGTGACTTGGAGAAGCTTGGAAGATGGGTCTGTCATAGGATCAAAGAGGGACAAATACCATGATTGTAGGGAGCGCATTTTTAGCCTGGAGTGCTGAATGGTTGATGTGGTGGAGGCCATGAGGCCCAGGAGACGTTGAGCCGAATGTGCTGTGACGAATGAGTGAGGAAGGAATTTTTCAATGAGCATGTGAAGTTTGGCTGCTCTCTCTGGAGGAAGAAAAACTCTTGCCCTCGTAGAGTCAAGGACCACGCCTATGTAGGTGATCTGTTGTGTAGGGGTAAGAATGGATTTTTCTTCGTTGATTTTGAGGCCCAGATCTCCGAGGAGAGAAAGGGCCAACTGGATATCTTTTAAAGCCTGAGAATGTGAAAGGGAGACTATTAGCCAGTTGTCTATGTAGGGGAAGATGGAGATTCCCAGAATACGCAAGTGGGCTGCTACAGGTGCCATACATTTGGTGAATACCCTTGGCATTGTAGAAAGGCCAAAAGGAATTCGTAGGCATGGGGTCCTATGGTGAAAATAGTGGGAGAAGAACCCTGGATCTTCTTCTGAAGGATTGACAGGTGATATGGCGTCCTTTAGGAGAAGAGATTGAATTTCTTGTTTGAGAGCAACAGACGGTGAGGTTAGAACAATCCTTGGTGGAGGTGGGAAAATGAATTCTATGGCGTAACCTGTAGCGATGATGGTGAGAACCCAGGAATTGGTGGTGATAAATGCCCAAGATGGAAGACAGGCTGAAAGACGAGTGGCAGTGGAAGGAGAAAGGTAAGCGGATCTGGGAGATAGAGAAGTCAAAGATTCTGCTTTTGTTTCTTTTCAGGGCAACAAAAAAACTGTTTGGGGTGTTGACATTGTGCCCCGTGTTGAGGTTGGAAAGAAGGGGCAGGCTGTGAAGTATACTTATTCCTGTCAGTAAACAATCTGGATTGTTGGTGACAGTAAGGGCAGCACCACTGATACCGTTGTGGTCTGTAGTATGGTTGGGTGTTGTATGATCATGGTGTTTTTCTTAATTTCTGCAGGTTGTCCATTATGTCATCAGTTTTTTCATCGAATAGTCCAGTACCATCGAACAGTAAGTCTTTGATTCTCATACGAGGGTCATCTGAAATATAGGTTGATCATAGCCTGACATGTCTACGGAGGGCTATAGCAGTAGCCATGTGTCTGGATGACGCTTTGATAACATGTCTGGCAGTAATACGTTCCTGACATCCGAGGGCCATGGCCTCCTGGTGGAAAGCATTGCTCAACTGTGCCAATCGAGGAAGGATGGTAATGTCAGCCGAATTAAGCACAGAAGATGGAGACTGTGTCAGTAGCGGAGATGGTGGTTGATCAGAAGGAGGAAGAAGGGTCTCTTCTGGAGAATCAAGGCAGACTGTAGGCTGATCCTGTAGTGGTGTCAAGTCTGGTATGGATCTGTGTCTGGATTGATGAGAATCGGTGGAAGTCTTCTTCATTTTTTTTTTTTTATTTTGAGTGTTCTGATACTGAAGGAGGGTTCGGTACCGGGGTGGACTTTGCTGAACTGGAAGATTTAGACTTTGATTTCGTTTTGGTCTTGGAAACCGACTTAACTGTCGGAGAAGTGGTAGTTGCACCTGGAGATTCTTTAGGGGGCTGAGATGTTTGGGACGGTTCCATAGTCTAAGCTGGTAGCAAGGAACGTTCCCAGAGGAATGATCTGAGACGCTGTTGTCTGAGCTTAAAGGCTTGTTTAGTGAAGTTCTGCAAGAACAAATACAAGGCTGGTGAGATTTCCCCAGGCAAAAAAGGCAGAGATAGTAACTGTCCGTGAGGGGAACTTTGTTGGAGCATGAGGTGCATTTTTTAAATGGAGGAAGAGGGGCTATAAATGGTGGGGAGGGAAAAAATGGGGGGGGCGATAGGGAAAAATTGCTCGAAAAGTCTCTTACAATTTTCCTTTGATTGTATAGAAGCTGGAAAGAATCACTCGAAAAGTATTTTCCAATTTTCCTCAGATTAAAGAAGTAATGATGAACAGAGCTCAACGAGAGGAGAGACCTCGGCAGCGGCAAAAAGTATATGAGCTAATTGCCAGGACGGGCGGACCATGTGTACTAGGGGGCGGTCCTTGACAAAGTATCATAAAGCTGTAGAATATTCTGGAGACCTCTGCGCAAATGCAGATTAAACCCATTAGTGTGCATTCACAGAGACCACAAGGAAGAACTATATATTTTCTTAATAAAAAATAATTATAAAAATCCTTAATGTGGACTAGTCTCTTGGATCAGTAGGGTTTGGCTAAATCCAGAGGAATGGTAATGGCCATTGACTAGCTACCATAGAGAAGTCCTATTTAACTAAACTGTTGTGAGTTCTAAGGAATCACAAAGCCCATGTTGCAGTACTTGCAAAGTGCTGAGTAATTTAAAGTGTTCTTTAAAGGTCAGGCTTGTTCAAGGCACAGATGCTATGCACTGCTGGAGGTTGAGGACTTGCCCCAGCATCGAGTGGTAGATTTGTGGCCTGCGGAACTCCCTGCCTGAACATCATATGCTCCTTAGGGAGATTTGGGCGTGACACACCATAGATGTGTTTGGTAACTGGATAGGTTTGCCTTCAACAGAATTCTCTTCTGCATGTATACTCGTGGTCAGATGTAAAATGATAGATGATGGTGCCAGATTTGATGGACTGAGAGACAAAAGATCGATAATTGCTGCCTCTGGATCAAGGTCCTGAACTACTGGAGGAAGTAGGCTTAGGTTTGGCATAGTATTTAGTAATTTAATTAATCTGACTTTGATAGAGGTCACATCTGCCTCTAGACTGATGATTAGAGGTGGAAAATTTGATGGTGGCTCCAAATTAGATGGATTACGACACAAAAGATCCATAATTATTGCCTGTAAATTGAGGTCCTCGGCTGCTGGGGGAAATAGAGGAGCACATGGAGCATCAGTTGTCTTACTCTGTAATTTTGGAGACTTTCCTGCCCTATTAAGATTGGTTCTTACACCTCTTTTTCCCTTATCCTCTGTCTCAAGCAGCTGGAACAGTCTCATAAAACTGAAGTTACAATGGGAGGGAATTTGTTTCTTCACTCCCCTCCTGGTTGATCTGTTATTTCTTTTGTGGCACTTCTTGCTTTGAATTTTTTGTTTAGTCTTCTTTCTCTTATCTCCTTCCATCCTTCTCTGTCTTTCTGTTTTGTCACTGAGAGGATGAAATCCTAGCACTACAGATTTGTTGGATATCTTCTTGTTTGTTTCTGCAGCTCCTAGTGGGACATCTAAAAAATTAATTTAAGTACTGGCATTGACCTGAACATCAGCAGTTGAATGATGTTTTTTGCAGATATCACATCTTGATATAGTTGGCATACTGGTTGAAACTATATTCAAGGGTGGACCAGGAATCACGCATACTAAGTCTCCCTTGGCTTGCCTAAGTCCTTCAATTTGTTGATTAATACTTAAGATGCCCTGTAAGATAATTTGTAATGTGCTTGCAAATAAAGTGGTGCCCCGCATAATGAGCGCTTCGTTTAACGACGAATCTGCATAGCGATGAGGTTTCTGCGATTGCAAAAGCGATCACATTGCGATGTTTTAAATGGTAAAACATCGCTTTGCGATGATCGGTAAGCGTTTTGCTTACCGATTTTTGCATAGCGATGTTTTTAAAACAGCTGATCAGTGGTTCCAAAATGGCCGCCGGGTAAATAAAATGGCCACCCGCTGTGTTTTGCCCGGATTCCTTGCTTACCAGGCAGTGAAAATGGCAGCCGCATGGAGGATTTTCGCAGAACGATGAGTTTTTTGCCCATAGGAACGCATTAAACGTGTTTTAATGCATTCCTATAGACTTCTTTGTTCCGCATAGCGACGAATCTGTATAGCAACAATTTTTTCGGAACGTATTATTGTTGTTGTGCGGGGCACCACTGTAACATATTTTCTGTCCTCATTAAATCAAGGCAGACTCAATCAAGACAGGGCTTTGGTGTCAGCTGGGGGCTTGGAGAGTCTCTATATTCAAATGCTATCAGGCATTTACTCTTTTTGAGACAGCCCTGTTTCAAGAATCCTAGGCTCCGAGCTGGTTAAGCCAGATGGTCTTTGATAGAGTACTTTAGAATTTGCCAATACCTGCTCCTGCTCTGGAGCTGCAGGTTTTGGATTAGAAAAAATGTTATTTTGGTCTATGTTAAAACTTGAGGCTGAGGTTTTACAGGGTGTTGCAAAAATATGGAAGAAATACTCAGGTCTTTGTAGTTTGTCCTTGTGTGCACCATTTCCCCTCCTTTTTTTCACAGGGAAGCCCAGAACCAGCAGAAATAAGATGCTGCAGTAATACTGATAAACCAGCAGCTGTGTCATCTCGCTGTGTAGTCCTGAGTATGCCCTTAGTTCCTGCAATTATCAGCTAGCCAGGTCATGCAAAAGCTAGCTAAAGCACTGAAAATCCTTCTTGCAGTGTGGGTGTGAATCCTTTTCTTCTGCATTTAACAGCTCTGATATAGTAAGGTCTCTGGTGAAGTAGGAGAACTTCCCTCTGTATCATTCAAAGGATCAATGGGAATTTTTCCATGGTAAAACAGAGCAGAGATTCCACCATTGAATTCAGGGTGTTTCTACAGCCAACACAGAACTTTTGGCAAGCGCTACAAGTGACACCCAGAAAAGACTTTTAGTATAAAATAAAACAGAGTTAAAATGCTTGGGCCAATGCCTGTCAAACAAGCACTCAGGGCTAAAAGGATAAATATGAAGACTTTGTGATAGAAAGCAGCAACTAAAGCAACAGCAACAAAAATTCCAATGCCTCAGGAGCACATGCGGGGGTTAATAACTTGAAAAGAAAAGTCCATCATGCAAATAACTTCTTACTTTTCAATTCAAGCAGGGAATAATCAGGGAGCAATTCAGTTCAGTTCACTCTGGAGCAACAAGCAAACAGTTCAGCTGTTGTCTCTTTCCCTTATAATGTGAAAAAGATATTGCGGAAAAATCTGGAGTCACAGAAATTGTTGTAACTCCCTAGTAATAACTTCAGGGTCTACTGATTCAAAAATGTAGCAGAAGACATAAAAGACATAAAACACATACCTAACTAAACAGGTTTTACATTAACAACAACAAAATCCTATGTAAAATGTATGTACAGTGGACCCTTGACTTACAGACGGCTTGACTTACAGACTTTTTGAGTTACAGACTTCTCTCGCGGCAAAATTTAGGTTTGACTTGCAGACTAGATTTGACTTACAGACCAGAAAAAAACCAAAATGGAACAAAAATGGCCTGTTACGGGATTAATCGGTTTTCAATGCACTGTAGGTCAATGGAAACTTGACTTACAGACTTTTTGACTTGAGAAACGCCTTCCAATACGGATTAAGTTCTCAAGTCAAGACCCCACTGTAAAAGGAGGGTAATTTTTTTAAAAAATTATAAAAGGTGTATAAAAGAGTTAGGTTAGAAAGCAGCAAAGGAGCAGCAAGAGAAGAAACACTACTGCCACACCCTACCAGAACCATAAGCCCATATATATGTAATACTCTGGTTAATACTTGTGAGTTACAACACACCTCCAGTTACATAGATATTAAGCGCATGGATGTCCCTTAATTTTTAGAGCACGAATGAGAAGCAGCTCAAGGACAATGCTTAAAAGGTAATGTGGCTAATGTTGGAGGGGCACAGCCAAAAATGCCACATTGTATATTTTTTCAAAAAATCTTTTAATGGATATGTACAATAAAGTTTATTATATTAGATTTTTCTTAACTGAAAAATGAGTTTAACCAAAAAAGGGTAGGGAAAAGCCCCTTCTCATCTGCTAGTGGCCAAACATGAAAACTATGAACCAACTTACATATGCATTTCAATAGAACTTCCTTCCAAATGTTAATATTAGAAAGACTTTACATACCACTTTGTAGTCCATTGTTTTGCTTAATTATGTGAATAAATGAACCAATAATTCTGCAAATATTCATTACAATTCCCATCTCGTGTACAGGAAATGCTTGCATTTTCTTATGTTGATTGAGAAAGTCTAGTCCTCTTTTTATACTACAATGAAATAAACTTTCAAGATATTCTATATCATTTTGTTCTATTATTTCAGTAAAGCCTTCTAACCATGTCTTGACATATGGCTCCCATCCTAGATCAAATGGGTCCTGTAAATAAATAAAATGAAAGGATGTATATTCAGAAAAAAGAATCCATCAATTTATTTATATTCGTTATACTTTTATTTTCATGGTGCATGAATCACAAACTTATGTTTCCTATCTAAGGCAAAGGAAAGAAAAATCTGTGGAGACTACATGAACACTAATCCTTATGTGATAGCCAGAATCCTATTGGGATTTTACTCCTGGTTCCTGATGTCTCACCTGCAGCACACATAGGCCTCCCTTTTACCTGTCATCTCTGTCGCCTTCCCATCTACTTCACTCTGTAGTCTGTATTTTCTTCAGTTTTTATTTTACCCATCAAGGGGGCATGGAGAGCTGGAAGCTGACCAGCAGAAAAATGTCCATAAGGAAACCTAACTAAATGGAACACATCCATAAAGTACACAGATCAGGATGGAACAATGCAGTGCTAGGGTCTACAGAAACAGATTCTTCACTGGAGCAAAGCAGAACAAAAATGCATCAACACCTGCTGACAGCTGATCCAGCCCTGCAGTGCTTGGATACTGGTAAAAAGAACAATTAATCCTGCTAAACTGATCTGTAATTTTTATAATCAGAATGCACAAATTTCATTGACTGTTTTACAGTTCTACCATAAATAGCAATTTTTGCTTCATTTGAGTAGTTGAAGTTCACAGGGAACACTGACGGTCTCTGGCAGTCAAATCAACGTAGCTAAAGTTCAAGGTCAGGTAGCTCCTGGCTGGCTCCCTTGAATAAAGTGATCTCCTCAATAGGGTAGCTATAGAAAAACTGTGTCTCAACAAATAGCTAAAACCAAATGAAGCCTTCCACAGGTTGAGTAGTGTAATTGGTCCCTCCTTGGCTTCTTGGAAGTACTGATTGTTACAGGAACCTAAACTCAGTTTCTGACTGAGGGTAAAAAAAAGATGGAAATACTGGTGGGTACATCCTCTGGGCTAGACAGAACAACTATCAGGTGGAAACATAGTTGGCTACAGAATTGTATTCAGAGGGTGATGATTAATGGCTCCTTCTCAAACTGGGTGGAAGTAACAAAGTGGGGTACCTCAGGGCTTAGTCCTGGGTCCTGTGCTCTTCAACATTTTTAATAATGACCTGGATCAGGGGGTGCAGACAATGCTAATCATATTTGCAGAGAATACAAAATTGTTGTTGTCCTCTGAAGATGCTGGCCACAGAGAATGGCGAAACGTTAGGAAGAACAACCTTCAGAACACAGCCAAAGAGCCTGAAAAACCCACAACAACCATTAGATCCCGGCCGTGAAAGCCTTCGAGAATAAATACAAAATTGGTTGTAATAGCTAATACCCTGGAAGATAGGGGGAAAATTCAGAATGATCTACAGTGGGGTCTCGACTGGTGAACTTAATCCGTATTGGAAGGTAGTTCGTAGGTCAAAAAGTTCGTAGGTCGAATCTGCATTTCCCATAGGAATGCACTGAAAACCATTTAATCCGTATCTGCTCTTTTCCGTCCATAGAAACTAATGGGAAGCTGCTATTCCACCTTCTGCCACTAGAGGGGGATATTTTTCTCTTTTTTTCCTTAGGTTTAGGAAAGGAGGGGGAAGGCAGGGAACAGTTTGCAAAGCACCTTTGAAATCTTTTTTTTCCAACGAAGCCAATTTTATAGCATGTTTTAAACCATGTTGTGTTGATTTTTCCAGCACAAAGAAACACAGGCAGGCTTTTTAGGTGCTGAGCAAGCCTCCCCAAGCCTCTTCAGAGC